TTTCAGAAAATGCCTCCAAGTGGTTTCATTTCAATGCGTTTTTACACAAGTTTCAAGATGGTTAAGGGATGAGTACTTGCTTTGTTTGGGGCTGGCTTTCATTACACCTTCTATCCCCACGTAGTCACCAGTGTTGTGTCATCAAAGGGCCGCTTGAGTTGGAATCAACTTGATGGCAGAGGAGAGGATCATCATTAGTGTCTAATTACGCCGTAAAAAAGCTCGGTGTCAAAGCTCTGCTTTGGCCAAATGCTCTTGGCCACAAACAGTTACCAATTTTTAGATTCTCAGACATTTTTTTTCATAGCTGTCCCTCAGTCACACATCTAATTTCATTTTCCTGCACTAATTTAATAGTTTTATTCTTCTCTGTTTGTTTAAGCGTAATGAATCCATCGAATTTATTTCAGTGTATGGACTCAATGAGAGATGACACACTATGTTGTTCCAGGTGACCACACATTTGTCTCAATATCATTGATTGTGTAATTCACATTTTTGCTACCATTGGGCTGTATCATTTTTATTCTGTACTTAATTCTTGAATGATTTAGATCTGTTTCTAGAATTTCTACTTCATTTGTTGATCTAGTTGCCGATTCGTGCCCTAGTTCCTTTGGATTTTATGTTTTAATTACTGTATTTAAATTTCTTTCATATCTGGTAGAAGTATCCCTTCTATTAGCCTTCCCTTTTAGAATGACCATTCATGGTCATTTCTTTTCTTAACTGAAATATAATTCATATGTCATAAAATTTGATCTTTAATAATGTACAATTTAGTCACTTTTAGCATATTTATAAGATTTTTCAATGACTATCTAATGCCAGAATATTTTCATCACTCACTAAAAGAAATTCAGAGGACTTTATATAGTTCTTATTAGTGTTTTCTAATTCAGTTAACTATTACTCATATTGGTCTTTGTCATTTACTGTGTTTTGAACAACTGTCTGCAAGTAAAAACTATTGGTTTCAAGACAGTATAATTTTTAAATGCCTTTAGTTTTAATTGCAATGTTTTAATATTGGATTTTCTTAAGCTTCATACTTTGTATTCAAGCAGATGTTCACCAAATATTAATTATATTTACATAATAACATAATATAATATTAATAATATAAATATTAATGTTGTGTTTATATGGCTCATAATTCCATATATTACAGATTGTTTCAGACGATTCTACAGACTTCATTTTCTTCCGTCTTAAAAAATGTACCCAGAATACTTAAATTGCATTTACACATTTAATAAAAATGTACAGTTATTTAAAAACAAAACAAAGGAAATCCAGGGGAAGCTGAGCTCTTGTTAAAGTGGATGAGAAATTTTGGAAACAATTAGTGATGAAAGTAATCAATGTTACTAAATTACACATTAAAAAACATGCTTAAACAAAAAGAGGAAGAAGGCTTGAAGGTAAACAAGCGACCATCTAGCTCAGAAGCAGCAAAGCCCACATGGAAGAAGCACACCAGCCTGTGTGATCACAAGGTGCTGAAGGGATCAGGTATCACGCATCGAAAAACAAAAAATAATACCATTGTGAATGAGGGGGAGTGCAGATTGGGGACCCAAAGCCCATCTGTAGACAACTAGACATCCCCTTACAGAAGGGTCGCAGGGAGGAGACAAGCCAGTCAGGGTACAGTGTAGCAACCATAAAACATACAACTTTCCTGTAATTCCTAAATGCTTCCTCCCCACCCCCACTATCATGATCCCAATTCTGCCTTACAAATCTGGCTAGATCAGAGGATGTACACTGGTACAGACAGGAACTAGAAACAGAGGGAATCCAGGACGGATGATCCCTTCAGGACCAGTGGGGAGAATGGTGATACCGGGAGGGTGGAGGGAAGGTGAGGTAGAAAGGGGGAGCCAATTACAAGGATCTACATATAACCTCCTCCCTGGGGGATGGACAACAGAAGAGTGGGTGAAGGGAGATGTCGGACAGTGTAAGATATGACAAAATAATAATAATTTATAAATTATCAAGGGTTCATGAGGGAGGGGCGGGGGAGGGAGGGGGAAAAATGAGGAGCTGATACCAAGGGCTCAGGTAGAAAGCAAATGTTTTGAGAATGATGATGTGCAAATGTGCTTGACACAGTGTATGTATGTATGGATTGTGATGAAAGTTGTACGAGCTCCCAATAAAATGATTTTTTTTAAAAAGATAAAGAAGCCCATACCTTCTAGCAGCTCCCCCCCCACTCCCCCTTCTAGCCCTTGGCAAACACTAGTGTGTTTTCTGTGTCTATAGCTTTGCTTACTCTGGACATTACATATGAATGGATTCTTACAAAATGTGGCCTGCTTTATCTTGGTCTTTCTCTTAGAATAGTATTTTAAAGGTTCATGCATATTGTAGTATGTATCAGTATGATATTCTTTTTAATGGCTGAATAATATTTCATTATGTAGATAATATCACATTTTGTTTCTTCAGTCATTGATTAATGACTATTTGGATTTTCTCTATTTTTTGCATTTATTCATCTAGCCTGTCTTGTTTTTAATTTCTATATTAACTCTTTGGTTGAAGTAATCCATATGCTAATGACTCTACTTCATGACCAGGTTTTCTTGCCTGAGAGTAGGTTTGGTCATAAGAAGCTGTCAGCTTAATAAGGCTAATGGTTACAAAAAGAGTAATCATTGTTGGCAATAAGACATTAGTAACTTATTGAGCATTTATCTAGGGTCTAGATACCTGTTAGTAAATTCACCAAGCCAATATGTCAGTTCACTGAACTCCATAGCCTTTAGAGTGCGTAATAATCATTTCAAGACAGTTAAGGGATTAGTACTTCTTTGTTCAGGGTTGGCTTTCATGGCATACTCTATCCCTACACATCCAAAATTACTGCAGACCCAAATTTCTTAACAGCTGGTGCCTTGGTAAAACTCGAGATTAATGGCATCTCTGCAGAGATTGTGCTTCAGGTGATCTTTGGATCATAATTTGAATAATCTTGCAGGGCTACTTTGGTCCTTCAAATTAGAGTTAAGATCAGCCCCATTCAACAGGAATCCTACAGATGTTCTCTAGAGAAATTTATCTATAGGCAACTACTTCCCTAAAATCATTTTGCTAACATGCCTTGGGTACCAATCAAGGTAAAGCTAGAGGGCCTCTGGAAACATCCAAGGTCGGTCAATCCCACTGCCGTGGAGTGGATTTCAACTCGTCGGGACCCTAAATAGGATTTTTGAGACTGGGAATTTTTTTCCATCAGAACTCTTTATTGTTATTTAGAATCGTATTTGTATATGTAGAACAATTACAATTAAACCTGTACAAATATTAAAACACCATCTTAACACCCACTTCAATGCACAGGTTAACAATATATGTATAAATATAAAATAAAGCAAACCCAAAATGATTGGAGTTACATTGTGGTGCAATAGAAGGAAACCGGGCAGGGCCTGGTGGGTTGCCCCACCACCCCTTGTTCATCTCTTGCTCCTGATCTGCATGCTTCACCCCACCCCTTCCAGCTAACCTTGCTGCTTTGGGGTTCGTGCTCAAAAATCTACTCGTTCTTCAACGGGAAATTCAAGAGTTGCTTCCCAGCAAAGCTGGGCCTGCTGCCTTTCCCTCTCCGGGGAACCAGCTACTGAATCATTCAGCCCAAACATCTGCCAAATAAAATACTCTCCAAGCCCTCAAGGGGCTCCCAGTAACTGCCTCTGATGAGAGCCAACAGACCTAGCAGGCCCTGCAGCAGCCCCTCCTGGCCTCACTCCCCTTGGCAGGCACATCTGGTGCCACGCTGTGAGGCGTGTCTGCCATTCTCTTTCTGGGCCCTTTTTTCTCTCTCTCTTTTCTTTGGAAGGAGTGGGGGTGAGGAGGAGGCAAGGATGTAGAAATGTTTGCAGCATATTCCATTCTCTATACCTGTGAGGATGTGCCCCAGAAATGAAGGCTACATTGTTAGGTAGGAAGCCAGCGGCCTGAGGGAACTCAGCAGGGATCTGGAGGAGAAGAAAGGCCTGTAGGGGCACAGTGGTGAAGCAAGAAGAGCTTGTATTTGTCTGATTTACCCTGTAGCTTCTCCACGTGGCAGGAGGAGAGTAGGCTGAGAGGAAAGCACATGACTAGTTTAGGTTTTGTTTAAAAATGGAGTGCTTGCACAAGGTACATCAAACTGTCTTATAAAACCAAACGAACTCACCAAGTGGTGGGGCTGTAACTCTTTATGGGAGCAGATAGAAGGATCAACCTTTGCTTCTCTTGAGGAAAACATTTGACTACTTACTGTAAGCTTGCAGCGTTATCTGGTCTCATGCTGAAGGGGCGGCCTTTTGTAGAAGAGGGATGGCTTTGCCTTTGACACACTGAGAACTGGTAGATATGCTACCCTCTTGTCAACAGCAAATATATCTTCCCAAATGCTTACATGTTGTGTTAGTCTGGGTAGACTAGAGAAACAAATCCACAGACACTCATATGTGTAAGTGAGAACTGTATATCAAAGCGTAATTGTGTATTAAGAAAACATCCCAGTTCAGGTCCATAAGTCTGATATTAGCCCATATGTCCAATACCAATCTGTAAATTCCTCTTCAGACTCACATAACTCATGCAATGCCATCGAATGCAGGAAGATCACAGGCTTGTGGGTGGAAAGTCTTATGGATCCAGTGGTGGTGGAAACATTTCAGTGCTGGTTTGGTCTCCACGTGGCTCCTCCAGTTCAAGGGCCTGGCTGCTTCAGTGCAACTCCATGTAGCTTGTCAGCAGGAAGATGAAGCAGAGAGTCTCGCCTGCCTCCAGGGAAGAATACAGGAGTTCTCAGAATCCTCAGGAGAAGACCATGCCCACATGGAGGCCTTATTGGCTGTGGCCTGATTGACAAGCTAGACTCCACCCCTTCACAAGTTGACAGGAGATTATGTAACTGCCACACATGTGCACGTTAATTTACAGCGTGTCCGTATGGTAGGAGTGCTGCATCACATGTTTGTCTTTTCCCCCCGTAGGCCAGAGAAGGCCGGACCACCATCGTGATAGCACACCGATTATCCACAATTCGGAATGCAGATGTTATTGCTGGGCTTGAGGATGGAGTTGCAGTGGAGCAAGGAAGTCACAGTGAACTGATGAAGAAGGAAGGGGTGTATTTCAAACTTGTTAACATGCAGGTATTTCTTTCCTAGTAATTTTTCTGCTGCTTGCATCCTAGTATATCGAACTCACTGCCACTGAGTAGATTCCGACTCACAATGACACTATAGGACAAAGTGGAACTGCTCCATAGAGTCCCTAACCCAGTACATCTTCACGAAATCAGATGGCTCCATCTTTCTGCCGTGGAGCAGCTGGTGGGTTCGAACCCAATGTGGGTTCAAACCCAATGAGTCAAGTTTGGGCCCCCAGGGCTCCTTGATTCTTAATGTAGTACTCTTCCCGTTATCAAAGTACGGCGCAGCTAAGAAACTTCAGGAAGATGAGTGAAAGTATACATCGGAAACTTTCCTTGTGGACGAATCTGGGAAAGAGGAATGTGGGGTGTCAGGGTAAGAGATGAGGGGTAGTGGGAAATGCTCAAAACATTCCAAATTAATATCTTATGACAACAGTTCTTAATTGTTTGGAGAATATGTTCAAATGCTGAGTGGTAACCAGGTGCTTTGACTCAGAGTTCTTGTTTGTAGCTTTAAAAATTTAACCCTGATCAGAAGACCCAAAACAATCATATCAATGCAAACGAGGGGGGAGCAGAGTGGAGAACCAAACCCCATCTGTAGACAATGGGACATCCCCTCACAGAAGGGTAACAAGGAAGGGACGAGCCAGCCAGGGTGCAGTATAACACCGATGAAACAGACAGCCTTCCTCTAGTTCTTTAATGCTTCCCCACTATCATGACCCCAGTTCTATCTTACAAATCCAGCTGGACCAGAGCATGTACACTGGTACAGACAGGAGCTTTAGACACATGGAACTCAGGACAGAGAAACCCTCCCAGGAACAGTAATGGGAGAAGTGATACCATGAGGGTAGGGGGAAGTGAGGGGAGAAAAGGAGAACCAATTGCAATGATTGACATATAAACACCCCACCCCCATCCCGTGACAAACAACAGAAACATGGGTGAAGGGAGACAGTGGACTGTGTAAGGCATGAAAAAAATTATATATTTTGAAAACAATGATGGCAACATATGTACAAATGTGTGTGATACAGTGGATTTATGGATTGTTATAAGAGCTGTAAGAGCTCCGTCCCCCCCACCCGATGATTTTTTTTTTAACTGATTTTTTTTAGCCCTAGTGATGTTTCTGTTTCTTCTTCCCTTTAATGGCATTTGTGACTTGTTCTCCAGATTCTTGCATGTTGAAGAAATTCCTACATAGCTGCCTGGTTTGAAATATTTAATTTTTTAAAGTAGATAACCTCTCATTTTTGTATTGTTTAAATGGAATTTAACTTTTTTTATTTCCGCACGCACAGTTTTACCGCCAACCTTGACTGACACATGCAATGCAAGTATTCAGAGTAACTTTGTGATTCTCAGTTGGACGATTGCACCAATCTAGATATAAACACAATGTAACATTTTGTTCTTTCAGTCCTCAGGAAACCACATCCAATCAGAAGACTTTGAGGGAGACCTGAATGATGAAAGTGCTGCCACTGGTATGGCCCCAAATGGGTGGAAACCGCGCATATACAGGAATTCCACGCATAAAAGCCTTAGAAATTCACGGATGCATCACAGTAGCCTTGATGAGGAAACTGATGAACTTGTAAGTCTGTTTCACTGAAATTCAGAATCTTGCTTTATAGATTTGCTTTTGAAATTCTTAGCCGTTTGCATCTGTGGATCATTCCTACGACCTTCCATGTTGTTGTTAAATGACTGAGTTGGTTGTGGCTCAGAACAACCTGTGTACAACAGAACTAAACATTGTCAGGTCTCGACCTTCCTCCGAGTCCTTGTGCTGCTTGCACTCATTATTGCAGCCACGAGGTCAGTCCATCTCACTGAGGATTGTCTTCTTTTTCACTGACCTCTACTGACCGAGCACGATGTCCTTCCGTAGTCACTGCTGCCTCTTGATAACATGCCCACAGTGCCTGCCCACGGGCTCACCATCCTTGCTTCTAAGGACCATTCTGACTATGTTTTTCCTAAGACAGATTGGTTTGTTTCCTTGGAGTTCAAAAGGTACCCCGTTAGTATAGTGGGTGACAGATTGGCTGCTAATCACCGTGTCAGTAGTTCAAACCCATCAGCCTCTCCAAGGGAGAAAGAAGAGGCTTTCTATTCCCATCAAGAATTAGAAAACACAGGAGCAGTTCCATCCTGTCCTATAAGGTCACCATGAGTCGGAATCAACTCGAGGACAATAAGTTTGGTTTTGGTTTTTCGGCCGTCCGTGGCATAGCTAATGTATTTTGCCAACATCATAACTCAACACTGTAGTTGTTCTTTGGCCCTCGTCATTCATTGTCCAACTTTTGGTACACCTTAATCTTCAAAGTGACATCTTTGCTTTTTAACACACTTTTGCTGACTGACAGTAAAAAGGACTTGAAGCACTTACTGATGAATAAAAGACTACAGTCTTCGATATGGATTATACTTCAATATAAAGCAAACATTCTCACAACTGAACCAGTAAGCAGCATCATTGTAAACAGAAAAAAGATTGAGGTTGTCAAGGATAGAGCCACAATCAATGCCAATGGAAGCAGCAGTCAAGAAGCTAACCAATGTATTGCATTCAGCAAAACACTGGAAAGTACCTCTTTACAATGTTTAAAAGCAAATATGTCACTTTGAAGACTAGGGTGCACACTTGACTATGATCTATACTCTTCTTTAAAAACAGGAAATTTCACATTTTAAATGTTTTGACAGTGAAATTAAAGTTCATTCTAATGGGAAATATATAGATTAAAAAATGTGAGGGGTATTATGTGTTAGGTATTTAATATTAAAATAAAATATTCCCCCCAAGGTGTGTAAAATAAAATAGCTCAGTCATCTTTGAGGCTCGGAGAGAAATAAAGTCCACTGAAAAGAGCAAACCTTGACATCCGCCTACTCACTCCCCACTGTCATTGAATGCCTTCAGACTCGCAGTGACTCCATGCATGGGCCTAGTGGAGCTGCCCTGGGTGTCTGAGACTGCAACTTCAAGGGAATAGAAAGCCTCCTATTTCTCTTTGAGAGCAGCTGGTGGTTTTGAGCTATGATCTTGTGGTCAGCACCCCAGTGGTGCACCGTATTACACCAGGGCGCCTTACTGGTAGGTGGGATTATCTTTATTTGCCTGTTTTAAGAGTCCTAGAATAACATTAGTCTTAGAAAATTAATAGTTTTATTTCTCTTACATAAAAGGTTCTTAGAGGTTACAAATCTAGAACTACAGTGTTGCTTCCACGATTAAGATGCTCCTTACACATTAGGCTGCAAACTGCAAGGCCAGCAGTTTGAAACCTCAGGACAGGGCTTTATACTCCAGTAAAGAGTGGCAGTCTTAGAAACTCACAGGGGCAGTTCTACCCTGTCCTAGAGGGTCTCTTTGAGTTGGTTTCAACTGGATGGCCATGAAAGGTGAGTGGGTGATGTGCTCCCTAAGTTTTAGCTTCACCATCATGGCCCAAGCTTCCGCCTTTGCACTCTGCTGCAAAGTTCCAGTCTCGGAAACCCACCAGGACAGTTCGACTCCATCCTGCAGGGCTGCTACGAGTCGGAATTGACTTGATGATAGTGAGTTTGGTTTTGATTTGGTTGATCTGAAGAATATGATTACTACCAAGGGCTCATTGCATCGATTTTTCTTTATCCGGAATATTAAAATTATTTTATAGCAAAGGCTGTAACAAAGGGCTGTCTTAGAATTATTCATAATCCATTCAATCTTGCTAGATTTATGGGAAGAAGAATGAAAGTAATACTACCCAGAGCTTCATCATCACAAGTAAAAGAATCATTTTCCTTCTTTTTTGGCTAGATCATTGTCTACTTTTCATTTTCTCATCTATTTTGACAGACTGCTGCAGTTTAGGATCCCGTATTTCAGAGGAGAAAAAGCAAGGAGTCAGGAAGTGCCACAATCAACAGGATTGTCATAAGTCCTGTGGGTCCCGGAGGGATTAGCAGTGTGCTGAACAGAGGAGAACTTAAGTCTGACTAGAGGGTTTGTCAAGGACCCTGGTGGCACAGTGGTTAAGCACTTGGGTGTTAACAGAAAAATTAGTTCAAACCCATCAGCTGCTCCATGGGAGAAAAACGTGGTCATCTATGCCTGAAAATATTACCGCCTCGGAAACTCTGTGGTGCAGTTTTACTCAGTGCTACGGTCACTGTGAGTCAGCATCAAGTCCACAGCAGTGGTTGGGCTTTGGGGTTTAGAAGAGCTGGGGAAATCTGCTCATGTGTGCTGAAGAGCGGCCATCGGAGGAAAAGGCTCTAATTAGGCTGGAGATCAGAAGATAATGTTACCTAAAGGTTGGGGGGCTGGGTGGGGGAGCAGTAAAATACAGAGAAAACAGGTGGCCTGAGAGAAGGGCACTGAATAAAACCTACTACTGCTTCTTCTGTTTCATGGAGACACAAATAGATTTTGCAATGCTCTCAAGCAAAAGGATTGCATCGTCCCCACCTAAGTTTCCAGACATTTAATTCAACATGTGCTGAGATGCTGCCACAGGCCCAGCACTGGACTTGTTTCCAGGAATATACACAGGCCTCACCTTTAAAAAGGTCCCGCACCAGTAAAAGAAACGGAAGCAGCTCCAACCACAACCGCAAGTCACAAACCAAGCTGCACAGAGACAAAAGGGAGATAACTCACTCGGTTTGGAGAGTTTCAGCGTGCCACGGACTTGTGCTTCTGGGCCACGTCGTAAGGATGAGAAGCCCAGGCTAGTGTCCTCTGCTTAGCCGTGGTCTCCTACGTGTCTGTGGGCACTGATCCAGTTCTTTATGGGCCTTCCCTCATGTGATCCCAACGTCATCCCTGTAGGAGAAACAGGACAAGATCTTAGATGTGGGAAAATGCAACTCAACTGGTGAGACCCAAGTCTGTCTGACACACAGTTGTGTGAGTCCAGAGAAGGCAACACAGTCCCAGGTCATTGTACTTGAATTCTAGAGCATTTCCTGCTCTGTCTCAATCTGCTCAAACTAACATAGAGATGGGCCGGCTGGTCATGGCACGAAGGTGGCTTCTTGGGTGATAATTCTCCCTCCGCTCAGGCTGTGTGGACATACTCAGGCTTGTAGCACATACTGTCCTGGGGTCGTGTATTATCGAATGATCATTCTCTGTACCTAGTTCGCAAGTTCCTTGAGGGCAGTGGTCATTGCCTTTTCCATACGTATAAGCTTTGGTGATTTTTGTGTTACACCACTGTGTCCTGATCTTTATATGTTCTAGGACGCAAATGTGCCACCAGTGTCTTTTCTGAAGGTTCTGAAGCTCAATAAAACAGAATGGCCCTACTTTGTGGTAGGAACTGTATGTGCCATTGCCAACGGGGCTCTCCAGCCAGCGTTTTCACTCATCTTCTCAGAGATGATAGAGGTAAGTTTAGAACACCACGGAGCTGCTTCATTCGAGCCAGCTCACCAAATCCTTCCCACCTTAACCTCCCCCAGTGGATTCACGCTGCAATGGACTCCCCAGGAGGAGTCCAGTTTATTGTGTTTGGGTGAGGGTTTACATAGCTAATTAGGATCCCATTAAATCCCATTAGGATTCCATATTGTTCAATGACATTGGGTACATTTTTCACATTACATCAACGTTGTTGTTGTTGTTTTTTAAGTCGTTTTCTTGATATAGTGTTCACAAAGCATACACCTCCATGGTTAAATCACTTTAAAAATGAGTTTTATATACATAATCACAACCAGTTCCAGTGCTCGCTACCCTCTCCCGGATTGCTTGTTTGCTCCCCAACCCCTCACCCTCCCTAGCCCCCCTTCCCGAGACACACACACACACACACACACACACACACACACACACACGCCGGATACACCATTGCATCCATTATTATCTCCTTTTGTGCTTCACAAACTAGGAAACTGAGCAGTAACAATAAAAATCAAAACCAAGATAAAATGGCAAGAATAAAATAATAATAATATAAAAAGAAAATACAAATAAAGAGTAAGAAAGAAAAGATCACTATCGATATTTAAAAAGCTAAGGTTGGGTCAAGATGAAGGTTATCTGGCCAAGTGTCAAATTATACCAGGTTTGAGCCACCATAATCAATTTACAATAGTTTCTGTCTGATGGTAACGTGTTTGAGCCCTGGCCTGTGGCTAGAAGGCATCTGCCAGAGGCTTGATCTAACAGGATACTCTGCAGATGGATTTTGAGCTCTGGCTGCTTGTTTGAATACAAGCAAAAGTAGCCTTTTAAACCATTCCGAATTGTGACGCTCGTGCAACTATCTAATGTAGAAATCGACAAAGAAGGCGTTCTGATGGGCAGACCTCTTCTTTGGGGTGAAAGTGGTTTGCAGTTTGGACCAATGACTTCCACCCTATGTGTGGAGAGGAGCTTGGACGTGCTCAGAGGAAGGCAGAAGTAACGTGGAAACGAGTTGGAGGCCGCCCTGTCCATGGGTCCTGGCTCTGGATGCACACTGACCTCACCTCCTACTAGCTGTGCAAGCCCAGGCAAGACGCTGGCCCCTCTGTCCTTTCTTCCTCCATATAAGAGTGCTCCCTACCTCACAGGGTTACTGAGAATGAGATGAGAATTTATAAGTGATTATGTGGAAAACAGAGTTCCTGAGTGGTGCAAAGACTTAAGCATTCAACAACTAGCTGGAAGTGTACCAGTTTGAGCCTAACCATGGAGGCCTGGGCAGACTGACTGGCAATCTGCTTTCACAGTCGTGAAAGACCTGTGACGTGCCGTTCTACCGTTCAGCACATGAAGGCACCGTGAGTCGGAACCCGCTGAGCCGCCAACAGTTTGTTCTTTTAATCTAGAAAGCATTTTGGTTAGCTCTGTGGTGTTAGAGTAAGAAGTATTCAAAAAGTGGTAGGCGCAGCATCATCATCTCAACAAACTTTCTGAGGGCTGGGGAGCCTGAGATTAAGAAAGAAATATGTGTTAGCCAATTATTAAATCCATTGGGGGGATACTTAACAGGAAATGATGGGAAATAGCTTAGACTTTGTAAGAGCTAGTAATTTATATTGTATGACCACCTTAATCAACCTCTAGCATTATTACAGAGACTTTTTAAAATGAAAGCTAGATTATTCTCCATCTTTTTATGAGTTTGTTATACTTAAACACATTAAACTGGTCTACAGTTAAAACTACAAACAGAAAAAGAAAAGGAAGAAAAAGAAGGGACCCTTGGGGTATTTTTAAACTTCCAAATAACGCAATACCCAGCTCTCCTGGGATTCAAGAGTTTGTGGACTGTATGGATATTCTGAGGGATCTTCTGCGTGCTCAGCACTGCTCCGGGCACTGGACACACAGTAGTAAACAACAGAGACTAAGTCTTGTGCTCTAACATCAGACTTCATACTGGGGCAGATGCACTGCACACAAAGCAAATCCAGACTGTGTTGAGGGATGTCTGCGTTCTAAAGGAGGGTAGGGCTATCAAGGCGTTGGAGAAGGGGCCACCACTGAAGAATGAGAGAAGGAAGACCTCTCTGGGAAGTGGCCTGATGAAGCTTACGAGGCGGGGAGGGCTGGACAGGGGTGGGAAGGAATTCGGAAGCAGGAAACAGGAGTTCAGGGAGAGGAGTCAGCAAGTACAGAGGAGAGGAACGAACTCTAACGTGTGCAAACTCTAACGTGTGACACCACCTGCAACCCTGAGAAACACAGCGCTTCCATCCCATGTCAGGGAACCACTGAGTAGTGCGTGTGAAAAGCGCGGAGATGGTGGATGTTTTATTACATGTATACGAATAGCTACTACATGTTTTTAAAGATTCAAAACCTCATTTTCACAGCCTACTTTTCAAACGGGATGCCAGAACCATTATTTACTGGTGAAACACATACGGATCTTGTAAACCCAGTGATGATTTCGATTTTTTTCTTTTTAGATTTTTGGGCCTGGGGACGATGAAGTAAAGCAGCAGAAGTGCAACCTGTTTTCCTTGCTATTTTTAGGCCTGGGGATTATTTCATTTTTCACTTTCTTCCTCCAGGTAGGCGCCCTCCATGTGTTCCCCTGATTGAGCCGACATTCAATCCTAGACCTTGAGTACAGCCTAGTGGAGCTTCCAAATCCTGAAAGGGACAGTGAACTACAAATGTACTTGGCAGGAACTGTGACTTCCCTCTTCGTTAAATTACATTATGTTACAAAGTTCACCCCCCACCCCCCAGCCCACCCAGTTAGCAATGAACTAGAGCTGTGGTTCTCTACCTTTAATCCAGCTCCTCATGTCGTGGTGGCCCCCCAACCAGAAAGTTATTTTTATTGCTACTTCATAGCTGTAATTTTGCTACTGTTATGAATCTGGCAACCCCTGTGAAAGGGTCATTCAACACCCCCCCCCCAGAGGGGTCTCTACCCACAGGTTGAGAACCGCTGAACTAGAGACTGGAATTCACAGGCGCACCTAAGAACCCGTCAAACTGGACAAATTGTATATGTTTATACAATCTCAAGTTCATTTCTGATCTCTTTTTTCTGCTTAGTTGACCAACTATTTGAAAACCCATAGATTACTTTATCTTCATATATTGTAGAATTCACCAAAACAAAAAAATGAGTTAGTGAGACTGGCTCCGAATTACACTTCTTCCCCTAATTAAACATTTACCAAATTCCTTTTGTCCCTCACAAGGTGGGCACAACCATCCACGAAGTCAGCAAAACATGTTTCTTAGCCCTGCCCAGTATGCTCCTTTCCTGTCACCACTGAAGCGATGGGAGAAGTCAGTCAGGCTTTTTACAAGGAAACCATTGGCTTGAGTAGTGGCCATGGAATGACGCCTGCAGCCCTGGGTGTTAGGGAGTGAAACTGGAAATATAATAGTAGGCTGATATATAAGACTACAGTGTCAATGTTAGCCAAGAGCCATCTGCTGGGAGAGGAAGGAGAGGAAAGCAGTATTAGTTGTTGACAACGGACAACTGGGGCAAAGTTCACACACACACACACACACACACACACACACACACACTCCCGATCACCTATTCTGTTGGGTTAGTAAAGAGGTCTGATGTGTGTGCTGCAGGGTGCACCACACACCTACACTAACACAGTGGGCAGAGGGCTCCTCCAACCCCTCCCAGTGGAGGTCTGAGAGCAAGCCCCACTGGGCTACTCTGCAGTTTGGACATGGCATCATTAGAAAGAGAGAAAGTGTCTGGCAAAGAGATTTGAAAGGACGAAGAGGCCCCATTGTTCCCCAGTCTGAGAGCAAGTGGACTGTCAGGGAACCAGCATGTTCATTGGGAACTTCCCCCGCTCTGCACTGCATGAGCCAAAATGCACTCCCGGGCAGAATTTTGTTCTGAATGTTTACAACTGTTTTACTTCGAGTATTGAGAATATGATGATCATTCTACTTGAATGCTGTAGCTTTCTCCTTCAAATCTTGTCTTTCCAGGTTTTGAAAAATATCTGTTTTAGAATGATTTAGAAGCCAGAACTAAGCACTTTCTAAGTGCTCTTTGGTTTTTATGATTCTATTGCATACGAATGGTTAGCTGCTTGCTGATGTTCTATTACCTTACCTACCAATGGTTTTCTGAGTGGTGGGGGTGCAGTGGTTAAGGTCTCGGCTGCTCACTAAAGGATCAGTGGTTCAAGCCCAGCAGTGACTCAGGGGCAGAAAAGATCTGCGAATCTGCTCCTGTATGGACTACAGCCTTGGAAGCCCTAGGGCCGCGGCTCTCAACCTGTGGGTCATGACCCCTTTGGGGGTTGAATGACCCTTTAACAGGGATCGCCAAAGACCATCGGCAAACACATATTTCAATGGTCTTAGGAACGGAGACACCGCTCCTCTGTCCTCCAGGCGGGTCCGCCCACGTGCAGATAGGCCCACATATGAGTACCCGGTGTGAAGACCCATGTACCCATGCTACACCATGCTTCAAGACAAAATTTCATTTATTTGTCATTAGAAATAAATATTTCACAACATATAATGACATAACGATTCATCACTATGCTTTAATGATGTTCAATTTGTAAGAATGAAAATACATCCTCCTCCTGAGCAACGCTGCGGGTCGCCGCACGCGGAGCTGGTGGACCCGAAACATGGGCTCCTGCGGGCCTGCAAACCGACTGCGAAGCGCTGCTCAGCCGCTTCCAGGAGACTACAGCGTGCGCTTGGAGGACTTCACTGAGCTCCGGAGGAGCGTGAAGTTCCGCACCATTTTCTGTGGCAGAATGAGAAATTTGGAAAAGAACACGTTTACAAAAGAAGCTTTAGCTTTGGGATGGCGGGTTTTTTTGCCTCCTTACACCTTCCAAATCCGGGTTGGTGCCCTGTATCTTCTGTATGGATTATACAACACCCAGCTGTGCCCACCAAAACAGAAGGTAATGCTTGATTCGAGTGGCCCTGAAGGATTGGGATGAAGTTTTGAAATTTCAGCAAGATTTGATAAATGCACAGCATTTTGATGCCGCTTATATTTTTAGGAAGCTACGATTAGACAAAGCATTTTACTTTACTGCAGTGTCCAAATTGCTGTCATATAGAATGAAGAAAAAAATTCAGCGAGCTGAAGTTACAGAAGAATTTAAGGATGGTCGTGTAATGAAGCTTATCCCTTCTGATGTACTAGACGAAATGCTGAATGTGCATGATTATTATCAGAACATGAAAAACATCATTTCAGCTGATAAATCCAATCCTGACAAAGCCCTCAGCTTGATCAAAGATGATTTTTTGGACAACATTAAGAACATAGTTCTGGAGCATCAACAGTGGCACAGAGACAGAAAGAATCCATCCTTAAAATCCAAAATTCAAGATGGAGAAGAAAAGAGAGAGAGAGAACACGGTTCGCCAGAGTCAGAGCGATGTGATAGGCAGCCTCATCAGCAAAAATAAAAGCAAAGGCCTTTGCAGCTGTTGCTCAGGCATCCAAGTCCAGACGGCATCGGCAAGGCAGACTTGATTCTTCCGACTCGGATTCTGCAGCCGGCCGGGACCGCTCACAGCCACGAAGAGAAAGAGGAGCAAAGACGCACCGAAATCGGCAGGACAGACGATGTCCTCCAGAAACAAAGGTGGCAGGAGGCATGCCACCAAAGAAGACAGACCGTTAAGGTTGAGTATGCCAGTAATTACGAAGACGAGCACGAACAGAGTGAAACGTGTAAAACCACGTCCACTGCGCCTAAGAGGAAAAGAAAACACTGAACCAAGGACCTGGTACGGAGTTGAACGTTTTTAGATTTCTGACAAAAAGAAGATATATATTTGGTGTGTTTTAACAGGAAGAATGCCAGTATTAAAAATAACTCTTCTAGGAAATTGTAGGCTATTTTTTTGAAATAGCAATATCTTGACAGTTTTTGGAAAAAAGTGCAAAGAATTATAATGAGAATTTACTCTGAAATTTAATTTTACCATTTTTTAAATAAAATCTTCATACATGGAGTTACAAATCAGAGTTAGGATATTGTACTTAGTAACATTTTTGTATGATTTATCTATGTCATTTTATTTAAAATATTTTACTTGAAATGTTAATTGTTATTACATGCAAGTAACTGCTATATATACACGAGTGTAAGCCAACCCAAATATCAGCCAAGGTACCTAATTTTACCACCAAAAAATGCATTAAAAATGTGTTGAAGTACTCCCTCAACGCAAGAATACCTTCTTCTATTAAATTGGCAT